TGTTTACTCGACAGTTTTGTGAAACGTAAAGGCGCTAAAGCTATGACAGGACATAAATCTGGTCTTGTCGTCAAATTACAAGAAATAATGCCTAATGCCAAATGGAGACATTGTTTTTTACATCGAGAAGCTCTTGCGTCCAAAGCTCTACCTCCTGAAATTGACTGTGTTATGAAAACCATCATTAAAGTTGTAAATTCCAATAAAGGAAAAGCTTTGCAGACCCGTATTTTTAGAAAAATTTGCGAAGACATGGGTGCTTTATTTGAAAATCTTCTCTATCATACCGAAGGAAGGTGGCGTTGAAGGGGCAACGTCTTAAAACGAGTATTTTACTTAAGAGCAGAGCTTTTAATGTATTTGAAAGATGAGGAGTCCCCATATTAAAATCAATTTTCCGATCCTGTTTGGCTTCTGAAACTAGGTTTCCTTGTCGACCATAAAACATCCATTTATGGTCGACCTAACTTGGCAAAAAACAACTCGATTAATTCCAGTGCCTTCAGGAAATTATGGAAAATGTATCCAATTACAGTGCTACAAATTTTGAACAAGTTTTTGCTGACATGCATGTTACTTTGCTCAATTTAAAACAACGGCTCTGTGATTTTTGTTTCGAAGAAATTCAAAACAGTTACGACAGTTGCAGATGGATACTAAATCCGTTTTTAGCCGATTCCTTTTAGCATCTTGAAATACCAATAAACATGAAAAAAAACTGAACATAAAATTGAAATATCAAGTGATGGAATGTTGAAGCTCCAATTTTTTTCTCAGAACTCGGACCAATTTTGGACAGAAAAAAAGCAGGAATACCCCAGTTGGCGAGTAAAGCTGTAAAATGTTTGGTTCCATTTGTAACATCATATTTGTATGAGTTAAGTTTCTCGTCTATGACTGCCATTAAAACAAGAGTTAGAAATCGTCTCGTACTTGAAAATGATATAATTGTGCGTGTCTCAAATACACAGCCTAGATTTCAAAGATTAGTTTCACAGAAACAGGCGCATAGCTCTCATTACGATTATAATATTTGACTTTGTTTTACTCTTTTATTTTTACGGACTTTAATATTTAGTTTTATATTACGTCTGATAATTAATTGTTAATTTCTATTTACGGCGTTGTTAAAATAAAAATACATGATCTAACAAAGTGGTGCTTTTGTCTTATTTTGGAAATATTCGGCGATCCCCTAGTACCTCATGGCGACCCCCTCTTTGGGAAACACTGCCATAGGGGGATAAAGTGCAAAAAAATCGATTTACCAAGAATCTGTACGCTGTAGAAAAAAATGTTTTTAAATAAAAAATGTAGCTGAGATAATTTTAAATAAAACTATTTATAAGCAGTTTTTGTCTATAATAAACCATTCTCTTAGAAACAACGCTTGAAGCGACCGTCGATTTATATGTCAGGTATGCGTGCGAAATTAACTTTTAATAAAATCAGCTTGACGGTAAAAAATCAATGTCTTTTGATCCAAGTGTTCTTGTTGCGTTCTGCACATACAATGACCTCAATGTACCAATTAGGGTCATCAGAAAGGGAAGAGAATATATTATGTTCAATCTTAATCTCGCTGGTTTCCCCCTTTTGCATTGTGTATGTATATTTCTATAAAAACATAATAGACGAGTAGACTATATAAACTCTATTTGTAATCAAATAAAGGCCAAAAACAAATACACACGTTAAAATATAATAAAACTGTAAAGAGCTACAAATTAATTGCGACGTGACAAGTATATTAAAATCAATATCTATTTGTAACCAAGAATAAATTTACAAAAGAAAAGTGTATAGGCGACAATCACTCAAAAAACTAAAATCTTACAATCTCGGTGGTAAAATGAATCAGCCTTGTTAATAAAGACAATGCAATGCAAAACAATTCAATGAAATATATTATGTAAAAGAATTAATAATAAATGCAGTTCAAAAGGAAAATCAGTAATACATTACACATTCAATTAATAGTAAAATTAATACAATTTAGTGAAATCAGCACGTAAATTGTACAAAACAATAATGATATTATTACAATAAAATAAGTCGTCAATTAATAATTAATCAATAAAATTATTAATACAGACAAGTCAATAGTAATCACCGATACAGTAAAAAATCTTTAAGCAACGTAAATATTCTCAACGGGCGACACAATGTAAAATAAAGTATAACACAATAAAATAAATTCACAACAAATGTAAAATGTTTTTAATTGTCAATATTCAATCGCGATCAAGGCGCAACTGAGATAAAGTTCTAAACAAACAAATATGAAATCTATATACCAAGTAAACGTACTTGATATATGCAGCAGAAAGATAAATGGTGTATTGTACTTTACCCAATGAAATGATGCATACGTACGACAAAGACGTTTTCAACGACGTACAGGAACCACAAAGTATTCATAATGGACCGCCTCCAATTTTACTGCATTTAACGACTGTCTCTGTCACAAGACCGAAGCGAAGTGCCCTAGAAAGCGCTGCGTTTTAACCCATGCACTACTGTGTTGCTTGGAAGATAAAACTTGACTCTCTCAAGACCGCAGCGAAGTGTCTAATTTGGCATATAGAACTCGTCTCGCATCTCAAGATGCGTTTTAAAGAAAAACGAGGGCGGCTTTCCTACGCAATTTTTGTATTTTGCCGAGAATTAGCTCAGTTTGTTAGACAGTAGACCGGCATTGTGACCAACGACGCGGCGTGGTGCAACGAAAAAGTTAATTTCGAGTCAATGGCGCCGCGGAGGGCACCGGTGACCTCCATGTGTTTTTTTGTATTTATGACGAAAAAAATACGCACAAAAATAAAAATAAAAATTATATCTATTATGAACACATAATATCAGATATGTATATACTAAACATTTTTATATTAAATTTTTTATCGATTTACCCATGGCATTTAACGTGTTAACCCGATTTCGGTTGACTGGCGTCCTACTGTACTGATATTTATGTTCTCAACGTAGTTTTAATCAGAAAGTGATCACTATCGTTTCCATTTCTACTTGTCGTTTTAAACACGAATGATAAAAAATATATTGCAGCTGATTAGACAAGCTGCTTGCTGACTACTCTTGGCATGCCAAGCACATGCTTGTAATAACTTGACTCTCTCTAACACTTAGCCTCGGCTCGTCTCTCTATCACTGATCGGTAAGCTCGTATATCCAGTACAAGTACTTCCGTTTTTTATTTCTAAGAACTTGAGTGATGAAGTTAAAAATATTTCGCAACAAAAAAATAAAACTATAGACAGAAATAACAAAAACCGTTACCGATTAGTAACGTACTTGAAATAATTAAAATACAAACAGACCTCAGCGAAAACGGATTTTGTTTTACTAAAACTTTACTCCAAGATTCCCTTAAGGCAGTTAATTTACCTAAAATCAACACATCGCTTACCAAGTATACAAACAGTAATGTACAAAGTGTAATTCGTATAGCCTTGCACAGAATAATATTTAATTACTAAGCTAAGCTTACAAGAATATCAACATTAATATGTGCTCTTACAGTAATAGGGATCTCTCATGTATTGAAATCCTTTTTTGTATAAGAAATCGAAAAAAGTTATAACAGAGTTATTTAATCCTTTAGATAATTAAAGTTATTTGACGTGATTATTCTATATACGTGACTCCTCTTATTTACTCACTCAAATCTGTATTTTATTTATCGTATGACAATTACAACACACTTAGAACAAAATTACAAATACTAGTAATATATGTATATGACAAACTTTAAGTAGTTAAAAACAAACATTAAGTTTATTAATATAATCAATTGACTCTGAAGTTACAAACAGGAAGTCTTCAGGGCTACCATTTTAGGATCTTGAGGGACACTCTTCAATAACGTGGTCGATGGTTTGGTTCTCCCCACAGTCACATTGAGAATTCTTTCCCCATTTATGTAGCATGTACGCACATTTAGAGTGGACCATGTTTTGCGTGGAAACCTAAAACCTGGTGGCTAGTGGGTAATGCAGGCATGTAGTTTTGCCGTGCGTTCCATTCTTGGGACCATGCATTCGTGATCTTAAACTCCTCATGTATCATTCTTGCTAGTATAGCATATATCATAGCATTCTAGGCCATTCTTAAGTTTCTTTAGTGGACTGATATCTATGCCCATCACGACTTGAAAAATTTGGTCGTTGAGCATGCTATCTATTAGGCATGCCATTGCTTTACAGGAGATTGCACGGAGAATTTTGTATATAAGGCCCTCTCTCCATACAGTATCGTAAGCTGCCGAGCGATCAATAAATGCCGCTGAAGTTTTAAGTCTTATTTGAAAACCAACTTTAATGTAGGTGGTGAGTGACATTACCTGGTCCGCGCAGCTTCGTTCTGGTCCTCAAACCTGTATTTACATGTTTTGTTGTTTCAACCACAACTAAATATAAGTTCGATCCAGGTGAAATTTTTTAAACAATTTTTTTTTAAACAAATCGTGACAATTAATTTTTCGGTTTGCACAATTTTTTTTTGAAAATGTCCACTGAAAATGTTTTTAAAAACTCATCAGATGAAGATGAAGATTATGTTTCTGAACATCAGTTTGACACTGATAACGAACAAAGTAACTATAATGAGAAAATGAAGAAGAACAAAGACAACCTAGTATCTCACAAATAAATATTGCCAGTATACTGGGAACAAATGTATATCGTTTGGATCACACAGCACCAGCACGACAAGGACGTCCAACAAGGAAGAACATCGTTTGTCATTTGCTAGGTCAAAAAAATTAAGCAATAAATGTTAGTAGCCCTGTTGGATCGTGGAATTTACTATTTTTTAAGAGATTGTTGACAATATTGTGCTACATGTAAATCAAGAAATTCTTTTTAAAAATAAGACATTGCTGCTTATTGTTTTTGTACTGCATACCGCAGAAAAAAAAATTATTACTAAAAAAAAACTCTTATTTGAGCCCCACTTTGCAGTAAACGTTAGATAAACGAACTTACCTTTCTAATATAACATAAATCCACATCCCCGCATTTGGTCATAATTTTTCTAATGCCATATAAATCGTCCTTCCACATGGTACAACAATCCGGAACTTTTAATTCTATTCCGCTATATTTAAATGTATTGCTCATAAAAGCAAAAACTTTGGTTGAAGACTAAAACATTTTTGAAGGTTAATTACAAAATTAATTGTATACATTAAAAGAATAAAAGAAAAGCTATATTTAATAAACTTTTAAAAGTAAAATGTGTATCACCTAAAGAAAAGATGGCCAATGATACTAATGTATAGGAGATGCGTCAATCCCTACTCTTAGATAGTTTTTTGTGGCAGAATTATAGGTTATATATACATATATTATTTTTAGATTTCCAAATCGCTTTTATTAAGCGGTATGTTGATGACTTATTACTAGCCTTACGTCCAGGTAAGATACAGGCCACCTTGTCTTTGTTTAATGAGTTTGATCCTCACTTACAGTTCGCTGTTGAACTTGAGTACCCCATCACCAATAGTATTCCTTTCTTAGACATGCGTGTCATTAAAATGGGAAATAACACCTTAACCATAAGTTTATATAATAAACCAATGGCCTCTAACAGATTTCTCAACTACCATTCTTGTCATCCATTTAAATATAAATGAAACCTTATTAAAGATTCAAGCTGAAGGCTAAATAGACTAACACATCCGATTAATTGAAGGGAATTCCTTCAATTACTCAGAAACATATTGATTGAGGACTCCTACTCATCTTCCCTCATTAATAAATACCTTTATTTACAAAGCTACGTTTCCTCAATAAATGACCTACCCAATGGTGACCAACTTAGAATAATATCATATAATTCCATTAATAATACTCTTCTGCCTACTACTGTACTTGGGATTCCAACTGCCCATTACTCCTCTTTACCTTATTTCTTGCAAGTTACGGAAAAATTTATTAAACTGTACAAAAATAATAATGTACCTGCTAAAATTCCAGTTAAGAATGCTAAGACTGTTAGAAATTTGTTTTCTAACACAAAAATACCTTTGTACCTTCTGGAACAAGTAAATGTCATCTATCACATACCTTGTGCTGAGTGTAACGCGTGCTACATCGGTTAGACAAGGAGATCACTAAGAGGGCGTCTGTCGACACACCGCAGTGATAATAATTTATCTAAGAATACTTGTGCTCTTGCCCATCATGCTATTAACACTAATCACAAAGTTGACTTTAATGAAGTTAAGATTCTTGGCAATGAGCGCAATCTCGTAAAAAGGCAGTTTTTGGAAATGTGTTTGATACTAAAATACCCTAACGCTCTTAATAAGAGAACGGACTTTAATAACTTGAGCCAAATTCATCAGGTCTTAATTTTGAAGAATTAGGCTTGATATGTTGTTTACTTTAAAATTGTCCCCTAAAAGTGTACGTCCATTTATATTTTTCTTATTAAATAAATTCAAATAAAATAAAATCCTCTTACTTTACTTCTCTTAATAAAGATTGATATTCAACTTATATTTTATTGATTCATTTGTCAATGTTATATTTATGTATATATAAATAATAATTAATAAAATTTTTTAAATTAAATTGATTCATAGAATCCTTATTAATTTCTCAGTTCCATATTAGTATGAACCTTGGACTGTTGGAAGTTGAATTAAATCTTCACCTGTGGCTGGCTAACCAGCTACAACTTAAACTCTTATATATGATATTGGGATCGACCTCACTTGTTTGTTAATTTTTTTCCGAGCCAATACCTGAGGGGGAAATGGTGTTCTTAAGCACCTTTTTCTTTCATTTTTTGGTTCGTATAGATAAGGTTTTCACCTAATATATCATATTTTTTAAACTTGCCGGTCTATTGCATTAGCGGTTGGCAACTCGCCTTATTGTCTGTCATGTTGTGAATTCAAGGACACTGTCTTTTCACGTGATAGCTTGGTGTTTCCAAAATCGGCTCCTATTTGCCGGTTGCATCTTATAAGTGGTGAAAGCTAATAGTGGTAACTTCATTACACTTTTTAATATTACTATAGCAAAATCTTAATCACTTCAATACTGTTACCTAAAGTAAAAATTAAATTAAATTAATAATATACTGTTGGAAGCGTAATCTCATGATCTTGTTAGTTCTCGGCAAATAATTAATTTTACATAAGTTTTTTTTATATACTTTTTAAAATACATGTACAATAACCACATGGTCTTTTGCTGTTCTAAGTTTGAGTTAATTTGTAAACTGTATTTAGTTTCAAATAATTGTTTATACAACATAACTATTTAATGTCTAACGTCGTAAGCTTCTTTACGTATTTAAATATTACAACATTGACTGCTACATGTCTTTTTGAGGTAACACACTTATATTGACTTTTCTATGGACGTATGGTTTTTCATATTGTTCCTTTTAGATGAACTGATGATGCCTTCTGACTAGAGAGCGAAACATCTTCAATAAATAGATGAAGTAGCCACCTTCTTTGTCTTTTTTCTCCACCTTTTGACCGAAAAACCTATCACTCTTCGAGTGATCCTTAACCCGGCAACTGTGTTGTGGGGTGAAAATAACCCACGTCGTTCATTACCGCTTGTTAAAATAGTGGCAACATCGCCAGATTCGTCTGGCGCCACGAGTACCTTCCCATAATATAACAGACCTTGTATTGCATCATAAATTTCAGTATATAAATAAGATTTGAATGAGTGGTGTCGCCTTCTTTGGACTTGTGGGTGATTTTAACCCCACCACACAGTTGAAGTGCAGTATTATTTAGTTTTTGGGTAATTTTAACCCCACAACACCGGTTAATTATTAACAGGTAAGTTCTTATACTAGCACAACTTATCTCGATTTTTTTAACAGAAACATAATTTAATTGTTAGGAATATTGAAAATTGATTAGATATTCTTAATTTCAGACATATCGAAATATGTGTAGTTGGGAGAAAGAACAAGAAGCTCTCTTGAAGCTTTGGCAGGATGAATTAACTGGATCAGAGTTAGGATCAGAAAGCGAATCTGAAAATGAAAGTCAGCAGGTTAGCCTTAGTTCCAGTGAGGATGTTTTACAAAACCAACTTCAATCAGTGGAAAATTGTCAGCCTGGAACTTCTAATCAGGAAAGTCAATCATCGTCGGAAGAATCTTCTCAAGACAACAATAAGTTTGAAGATGATAAAGTAAGACAATCTAAGTTTTTTATCGGACGGGATGGGAAAACAAAATGGTCAAAGAACTGTCCTAATAAATCGGTTAGAACACGACAAGAAAATTTAATTACTTTACTTCCCGGTGTTCGAAATAATGCAAAACATTGCAAATCACCCATTTCTTGCTGGGAATTATTCATGGATAATATTATTGTAGAAGATATTGTCCAATGCACTAATAAAAAAATCAGTTTAGTCGCTCAGAATTATAATGACCAACATAAATATATCACCAAGCCTACGGACGCAGAAGAAATTCGTGCAGTTTTCGGATTACTATATCTATCAGGCGTTTATAAAGCCAATAGGTTAAATCTGGAGGATCTTTGGGCTACAGATGGAACAGGAATTGACATTTTCAGGCTAACAATGTCCCTGCAAAGATTTATATTACTTTTAAAGTGCCTACGATTCGATAATATCGAAAATAGAGACGAACGAAAAAGAGTAGATAAACTGGCAGCTATACGAGCTGTTTTTGATCGATTTGTATCCAATTGTCAACAATATTTTATTCCTAGTCAATACTTGACGATCGACGAAAAATTAGAATCTTTTCGGGGACGTTGTTCCTTTCGGCAATATATCCCCAATAAGCCGTCCAAATATGGCATTAAAATATTTGCCTTAGTGGATGCCAAAACATTCTACATTTTAAATTTAGAGGTATATGTTGGCTCACAGCCTGAGGGACCTTTTCAATTTAGTAATAGACCGTTTGATGTAGTAAACAGGCTTGTAAATCCAATTCGTGGTACTAATCGCAACATTACATTCGACAACTGGTTTACCAGCATACCGCTAATGGAACATTTGCTTAGTGAACATCGGTTAACATCTGTTGGAACTATTCGTAAAAACAAGAGGGAAATACCGACAATCTTTTTGAATTCCAAAAACAGAGCTGAAAACCACGCAATTTTCGGATTTAAAAAAGACATTTCTTTGGTGTCCTTTGTCCCGAAGAAAAATAAAATAGTGTTAGTAGCTTCTTCACTTCATCATGATACAGAATTTGACCACAAATTAAATAAACCTGAGATTATAGACTTTTATAATCACACAAAAGGTGGAGTGGATATGGTTGACGAAATGTCTGCGTTATATAATGTGTCTCGTAATAGCAAGCGATGGCCACTAACAATTTTTTTTTCGCTGCTTAATAATGCAGGAATAAATAGTTATGTTATTTATCAACATAACAAGCCAAATGAAAAACTAAAACGCAGATTTTTTTTAAAACAACTTGGTTTGGCACTAATTAAACCATATATTGAAAAAAGAGGTAATAATCAAAGAATACCATCAGACATAAGAGCGAAACTAAAAAGAAATGACAGCGGAGAGGACTCTCAAGGACCTTCAAACAAGAAACAACGAACAACATCCAGATGTGGAGTGTGTCCCCGTGGAAAGGACAGAAAGTGCCAAAAGAAATGTGTAAAATGTGACATTTTTCTTTGTCTTGAACATTGTGTATATTTTTGTTCTAAATGTGCAAATAATTGTTAATTATGCTTTTTAAACAAAAGATCATAGTTACTTTTTATAGAATTTGTAGTTTTTTTTTTATTCTATATCTCTAATAAAAATTTTATTAACAAAAATTGTGGTAGTGGTTTAAATATCAACTAAATTTTAGTATATTTTTTGAATCGTTGAATTATTAACGAAAATTTTTAAAATGATTTAACTTTGAAAAAGATTATATAACAATATAACCATGATTTAAAATCTTAAGGTTGCATGTAAAAATAAAATATTTTCTCAATTTTATAAATAAAAAAAAAATGGGGTGATAATTACCCCAACACACAGCTCCTGTTAGAAAATTTCACCACACAGTCGCCGGGTTAATTTATATTGGATTAACAGTCATACTCCTTTTCTCTATAAATATATTATATATATATATACACATACACATATATATATATATATATATATATATATATATATATAATATATATATATATATATATATATAAAGAGAAGGCTTTTTATGAAAAAAAAATGATTTAGCTGCAAAAAGGATAATAAAAAACTTACCTCTATATCACTTCCATATAAATCTTCTAACACCCAAATTGAAACATTTATTGCAAACTGGGTTCTGTTGTATTTAAAAAGATGGAAAGTCGCATTGGGAGCTGCTAATTTATCATTAAAATATTCAACGTGAAGATTTTCGATTAAAGTTTTATAATCCCCCTAAAATATCAAAATTTGTAACATTACCAAATCATTTCTAGATAGTTAGTCTTTGTATTATAAAATTATTATTTTGTAGTTTAACTCAAAATATTTACATCCTTCATTTTTCTGCATTTTTATTAATTTTAAGATACTTCTTTAGTCTATAACAAGGTCTGTAACCCCAGTTATCTTAACGGTGGTGATATATGGTTATGTTTTTCAAATCTTAATTTGCATTCACCTTATTTGCCATTTTTTCCCGGTAATTAAATCTCATGGGAGATTTTTACTGGGTCATTCGACCTATATACGCATTATATATAAAACAATAATACAATATGTAACAACTTTAGAAACTATGTCGTCGATATTATCGGTAGAAAAGACCGGGGTTGGTTGTCATAGATTCGCCTATTACATTTTTTTAAGATTAGTAGTACTTGTTTTGAAAAGTGCGCATTACCATAATATAAAGTGAACATTACTTCAATATTCCCTTTTTTTCTAGATCTCTAGATGTATTCCAACATACTCATATAAAATAATAAGAGTAGCTCTACAACCTATGTCCATTTACCCCGTGATTGGGGCAAATTGTCATAGCCCTTGTAGTAGGTTGACATATAGGTATATACTAGCATAGGATACTTAAAAAACGCAAAGGAACCGTAATCAATATTATTTAGGTATATACAATAATAAAGAATCTGAAAGTAGAAAAATATATCTACAAATAATACGCCTCTACTTTTCCCTACCTAGGCTCAATAATAAATGACAAGAACACATCAGTCAAGAAATACAAGCACGGATTCTTAGCGGTAATAAGTGCTTTTCTGCATACAAAGACTTAATGAAAAATAAGTCACTGAATCGTGAGTCTAAGTTTAGAATTTACAAAATAGTAATTAGACCAGTGGTCACATATGGATGTGAAACGTGGACCCTCTCAACCACTGATGAAAATTAACTGAGAATACTTGAGCGCAAAATACTAAGGAAGATATTTGGACCAACCCAATACAGTGATGGTTCGTGGAGAATTAAAATTAACCACAGCTGGATGAACTAATGCACAGCGCAGATATTGTTATATTTGTAAAGTCACAAAGACTAAACTGGCTTGGTCACCTAGGAAGAATGCCAGATAATCGACTGTTAAAGTAGTCCAGAGATGGAAGCCCCAAGGAAACAGAACAAGAGGAAGGCCCCGTAAAAGATGGATAGACGACGTAGAGATGGATCTTAAAACCATGAACATCAGGCAGTGGCGAAGGAAAGTATCGAACAGGGCAGAATGGAAGAATATTGTTAAGCAGGCCAAGGCTCACAAAGGGTTGTAGCGCCAATAGAAGAAGAAGAAGAATATACAATAATAGAAGCCGAAAAAATATAGTTAAATGTATTTAATAAGAAGGTATGCATTCAAACAACTTTTTTTTTAATAATAACATAATTAATTGATATGAGGTTGATTCTCTCTCCTGCTACTGACAAAGAATGTAGACCGTAAAACCTTTTTAATTAATTTTAAACTGTTTGTCATTGTTTTAGTGTAGTGTTTTGTAAAATTTTATGTTAACATTCATGTTTATCACATTCTACGCTTGCTGGATAGCCCATATTTGACGAAATGCCCCTGAAGATGCTATATTAAGCGAAAGTACTTGGTCAAGATTTGATTAAACTTGTGCTCGATAATTGCCTTAATTTTCAAAGTTAATAACATAATTAGAAATATGTATTACAAAATACTTTTGGTATTCGTCACACCTGCTGCAACTTATATTACAAGGAAAGGTCTACGGAAAGAGGGGACCAGGAACAAGAAGAATATCTTGGCAGCAGAATATACGAAAATGGTTTTCTTTAATCACTTCAGGACTATTTCGAACTGCGGTCAATAAAGTTAGAATTGCCATGCTAGTTGCCAACATCCGTAAAGGATAGGCACCACAAGAAGAAGAGATTCATCATAATCGCATTTTTGATATCTATATGGTATAATATTGCCATCAGTGCATTTGAAGTGTGCTGAAAAGTTGTATTCAATGCATTCGATCCACTGTTCTCCAGGGCGACTATTGGAATGTGACTCCATGAAAACTAGACAGAAAGCATTATTCTGGTCTGAGTCTTCATCTGAAGATACAGTTAATGGACTTTTCTTATTAATTTTTCTCTTCAATAAATCTTTTTTTTTTTCATTATAAACCATCGATTTTGTTTGAATTGCAAGCAAGTGGAGTTTTTTGCGATTGTTTTCTAGCAGTAACTGCTACATTCTTTTCCTGTGGTGCCTTTTTTCCTTCTTTTTCTTCCTCCTTTGGTGTTTAGTTAGTAAATAGTTGCTGGAAGTTGATAGAAGGGCAGAGGCATCATCAGAAAATGATTTAGCGGATTAAGCGTAAAGAGATGATAAATGCGTAGTTGGATAGGCGTAGGAGGTGGATCACACTGCTCCAAAGACAAATTACTTCATTTGGATCCGGTTGACATTGATCAATAAGGAAACATTGATCGACTTCATCTTGTTGCATATTATCTTCTATAGCCTTTTAAAGGGCTATTAACCGTCGTTGTTTCCTCTCGTACACCATCATACAACAAATAAAGTCCAAATTAAGTCTAGCTCACAAAAAATATTTGAATATAATTTAAAATTCGTAAGTACGTAATCAGTATCGCTTTAGATTTTTACTAACATCCCGGCACTGACAACTTTCATAGCGCACTGAACAGATTCTTGTTGATTTCAATCTAAATTAAATATGGGAGTGAATACTACATGTGTTGGGATTGATTAACATTCTGTTCATCGTGTGTGGTCTGTGAATCAACGACAAAATAAAAATTTTGTATAATTTCCCCATTTTATTTTTTTAAATTTCTACCTTTTCAGTACCTTCCTAGAAACTAAATACCATTCGTTTTTTTATACAAAACTGTTTTTAAAATTTCTAAATAGCTGACAGACCTGTTTGTCAGCTAGACAAACAAACAGCTGTTTGTCCTGACAGACCCCACCCGATCAAAAGTGTAACAATATTTGCACTGCTTAGTAATTGTATTTTTCTTGCAATCTTGTTTCACTTGACAACCCTGTGCATTTTTGTGAACTGGATTATTCGGTTGTTCCGAGAAAATACGTCAGATCACCGATAAATTTTTTTTGTCTGTGGTCTGTGCGTCCGTTATGGATTAAAACTTGTTTGAAGTCGTTTACGATTGAAATCTCGAAATCTCACAAAGAAAATAGTAAAGTATAGAAAAGTGTTTTTTGGTAAAATATCAATATAAGAATAATTTTATATCGAGATTCGGTTGGACAAACATTATAAAGGTACGAAGTACCTGCATAATTTACTAATCTGATTTATTTGACAAAATGAATTTGTATGAGGAAACTGCCACAGACAGTGAAATAGACGACTCTGACGACGATTCGATCGCGGATCCACGTATTCAAGGGATCAATGATCATGATACATACACCGAGCAGGAAAATGAAGATGAGCAAATTCTAAATGAGAATGAAGTCTAGAATAAAGAAAATCTATGCTGGAGTTCAACCCGAGGGCCCATATAAAGTTGACAATTCTACTGCTGCCGTAATTGAAAGAATGTGCTTACATTTATTGGGTTCAGGAAGAAACATTACCATAGACCGTTGGTTCACAGGTTATGCAATTGCCAATTAACTACTAAGAGAACACCGTAATTGGTACAATTAGAGCTAACAGACGAGAGTTACCTGCAGAAAAAACGCAAATTAAAAATAGGCAGGTATATTCTTCAGTTTTTGCATTTAGCAACGATATAACTGCCGTATCATATATACCGAAGAAAGGAAAATATGTGATTGCTGTTTCCACTGTGCACAGAGATGATCGGATTGATGAAGATACTGGTGATCAGAAAAAACCAGAAATAATTACTGTTTATAATTCCACAAAGGGTGGAGTAGATGTTGTAGACAAAATGATTACATCATATAATGTTTCCAGAAATACGAAACGTTGGCAGATGGTAGTAGTTTATAATCTCCTTAATCTCGCAGCAATTAATGCATTTGTAATTTACAAAGGTAACAACCCAGTTGAAGAATTTTCCAAAACGCGAAGATTATTCCAAAAAAGTCTAGGTATGGAATTGGTACAGAAGAGTATGCGACGGAGAACAGTTGACACGCATTTGACAAAAGCTGTGCGTGCTTCGACCTTGGGACTCTCAGGCATTGAGGTCGACGTTGTACTAGAGCCCCAGCCAATTAAGAGAGGAAGTTGTAAATATTGCAAAAGACGCAAAACTCGCTTTTTTTATACATGGACTGTCGTCCATACATAGCCAGGATGGCACATAATGGCATGCTGCAAAGATTGCTAAAAAAATTTGACCACCAAAGTTTGACCACTGTAGTATGTGTCCACAATTTAATTTTTTAGTTTATATATGTTTTTGTAGTACTTTGTTTGTTTCTAATTAAAGTTTTAAATGTTTTTTTTTGTTTTTTTCATTATTTAGTCGCTGTTCACAAAATTGAAAAAATATGCGTTGAAATTGTAAACATTTTTAAAATTTACCTAATACAACTTAAAAAATTTTTGGAATTGTTTCTGTAATAAACATTATACAGTAAATGATTTATTTAAAACACGTTGATGCGAAATTAGCAATAAAATGTATGCTGTTGCTCGGAGACGGTATTTCATTTTGGTCCTCACAGACCACACCCGACCGAAAGTGTTTCAGAATGGTCACCCGATGAACGGAGGGTTAACCTAAATTTGTCTTTGGTCATGGACAGCTTTACGTAGCTTTTTCTAGCATTAGACAGAGATGTTTAAAATGCAAATTTTCGTGTATGGTTTTTTTATTTAAAAAAATAGAAATTTGCGTATTGCACATCCGGAGTTAATATGTATAATTTTATCATATTAACATTAATGTTGTTGTCTGCAATGTTTAAAGTAGTACACAAGTGTTTCAATAAATTTCTTAAACTAAATCCCTACACCTCTGTGCGTATTAGAACGTTTTATTTTTCATTTTTCTTATGCATTCATAATATCGAAATAAATCTGCATAAATATTTTTGGTGTGACAAAACAAAAGCATTTTA